GCTGGGAACAAATACCTACAACTGTGGATTTCCCCAGGGACCAGGTCCTACCTGGAAGCTCAGGTCACATTTTGCACCACTCTATCGAAGCAGATGGAGACAGATAATCTCCTCTGGAGGCCTGGCTGCTGCCTGTTTGACCCGTAAGGAGCGTGGTCCCTGGGTCAACTGCCACGTGTGCAGTGCTGAGACAAGCGCTGACAGGAAAGGCCAGGCATGCAGGTGCCTCTCCTCATGGAAACCCATTCCTTGCCACGGGAGGAAGGCCCTTCACTGTCCAAGAAGGGCCAGAGAAAGCAAATGCACAAAAACCTGTCAAAATGAATTGAACAGTAATACAAAGGGCGAAGGAAACACTGCAAGGATGCTGGGTGACACTGAAGAGGTAAAGGGACCAGGGAGGAGGTTGTATGTCTTTAGGAACAGTATTTATCTCATAGTCAGTTACAGACATGACCAGGCCATGTGGGCTTCTTGGAGGCTGAGACCCACACAGTGTCTTTGTGCAGCCCCACGGCTGCTCTTCCGTGTGTCTCCGTGGTGCAGTCACACAGGTGGAGCAGGGGACAGGCTGTGGTGACACGGGGTGGCACAGGCTGGGCCCCCTTACAGAGACCCCTCTGCACAGTCCAAGGTAGCCCAGCTAGAAGGCACTAGCACAGCCGTTGTCTTGTGCCTTGGCCTTCCCCTAATATAAAGCCATGTGAGTACCCATGCCATACAACTGATGTGAAAGGACTGACATGTTGAAGTACAAGAAAGGTCAGAGCCTAATTAATACCTGTAATTACAGCACTGACTTTTAATTTCTGTCTCATCACCTAGGGAATGTGTCTTAGCTTTTAGAAAGAAAAACGGCTTGCAAAATTCTAAGATAATTAATTTCTACCTCTTTTGAAAGTCCTCCTTTTTGCTGAGTCCCTTTTTTAAAACTTAAGGAGAGTGACCTATGCTGTCTTGTAGCTGGGGAATTTAGCTATGGGAAGAGGTTTGTCTATGAATTTAGCTAGGGGAGCAGGTTATGCTCAAGGCCTCTTCCTCACCTCTATGCCAGCTACACACACACACACCGCCCCCCCCAGTCCAACACAAAAAAAAAAAGTGAGTATCCAAAACTTTCCCTCCTTCACCCATACTCTTCCCTCAGAAGCTCATCTCCATATACGAATATATGAAAGTAAATGACTAAGGGAGATGAAGGAGAGAATATCTGTCCATAAGGTAATGACAGAATGAATTCGTCCTACCTTAAAATGAGGTAATCATGGAAAGGTAAATGCAATATTTGGATGTAACAGAAGAGCTAGTTCCAAGAACTATTCACTGGTACAGGCCCAAGTGAAACATCATCTGGAAGACTGCATACATTTCTGGTAACTAATAGTCAAAAATAAAAAAAAGCTATTTGAATTGGAAGAGGGGCAAAAAATGGCTAGGGTAACTGGGGAACTGGAGAGGCTATATCCCATGAGAAGGGAAGAGAGCAGGTGGTGGGATCAGTCTAGCCAAACAAAGGTTCTAAAGGATTTCAGCTCGTATCTATAAATACTGCAAGGGGAAAAGAGCTATTCAGCTACAGGGCACTGTTAGCAGTAGGGAAAATAAAAGGATATTGACTGTGCATGGCTACGTTTGAACTAGGAATTAGAAGAAATTTCCCAGCTAGTAGAAGAAGGAAGTTCTTGAAACAGTTTTCTCATTGAGGAAAAGTAGGGAAAAGAGCCAATTTACTCTTAAAATAATGCAAAAAAAAAGACTAAATTGCCAATTTACTCTTAAAATAATGAAAAAGCTAGCTTTCAGTAGCAGATGTGTGAATCTGACACTAGAACATAAGGTCCATCCACTGTTATTTTAATGCTCTTGGGAGTGATAGATCCCACAAGGTCTTCAGGCTAGAATAGAATTAAAAATTGTAAAAACCTCCTACCATTTGTAGCAAAATTCTTTAGTTTCAAACAGATGCCAAGCATATATAGTGTTAGAAATAGACTATCACAAGGAAGCCAGTCTTCTACTAGATTCTAGCTTACTACCATTTCCACTAGATACCAGCAAGACTCAAATACCTACTATAAGTACCAGAACTTAGTTCACAAATCACTGTATGTAGCTAGGCCTGACCAATTTCTTGTCTGATTGTTGGCTTCTCATTCACATAAGAAACAAAGCATTTTTAGATGCATTCATCAATAACTACAACAGTTTCCCTCAGTTTGCCAGTTCAACTAC